GCGGAGGGGGGGGAGGGGGGGGGGGGGGGGTTGACAACGAACGAGTGTATGTGTGGGGGGGAAGGCGAGGGCAACAGCTCCAGGACTGGGGAGAATAAAAGAAGCTCTGTTGTCAGGAGTGTGACGGCATCGAGGTCTCATGCAAGTCCACGGAGAAGAGAAATGCGCAGTGAAGGCCTGCTTCTCTCCTGAGAGAGGGACAAAAGGAGTTGGAAGAGGAGAGAACGGATAAAAAGGATCGTGGGAGCCTGCACAATTAATTTTTTTTTCTCTCTCCCAAAATAAAGCTTCCGTTATGAACTCAGGGGTGGAACCGGACGGGGAGACGGATGGGGATGCACACATACGGGGAACTGGGTTCAATTGATGCGTGCAACGGCTGCTGGAGCCCCAGAGCACCAGACGGCGAGCGCAGGCAAGCGCAGGCGCAGGCGCAGGCGTCAACTGGTCAGGCTTGCAGAGTGGTCTGGTGCGGCTTGAGGCGTCCAGCGCACCAGGCAAAACTCCAGCGGGCGCAGCCCAGTTCAATGTTTCCCTTCAAATGCTGAGTGCCGACGTTTGGGACCCCTCAGTGGCTCCCACATGTGCAGGCTGGTGGCAGCTGCGGGCCACCTGGCGCACTTGAGCTCCAGAAGCTGAGCTCCACATGTCAACCTCAAACTTCGAAATGCCAAACTTGTCAACTGTAGGTGAGTCTCTTTTTGTGTGCCCGTGTCCGCCATTCCTCAGGCCCCTAACCAAATAATGTCTCGTAGTCGTTCTGCGCCGTGTTGGAACTGCCACGGACCGCCGTCATGGTAGGATCTTGTCCTCGAGTACTCGGTATTAACTGATGGCCAATATAGGTCGATAGGATTGGACCCGTAAACGAGAACAACACTAGCAATTCGAAAGAAGAGTCCACTCGACCCCCACGTACGGAGTATCCAGGCAATTACTTGACTCCCTGACACTCCGTATCAATTCGCGTTTGGGCCGGATGCGACATCAATCCGCGCCTAGTTAAACCCCCCTGGTCAGTGGTTACTGGTGGCTCACCAACCGCTTAAGCCGCTGGCTCGGCCTCTTTGACGTCAAAGATAAAAAAGGGAATGTGCATTTCTTTGAGATATCGCTCGCTGTAGCACATCTTGGTATACAGCCAGGTTTGCCCGGACCAAGATTGCAAAGGCGGTTCAGCAAGCCATGTTCCTCAACTCGACGCAGACGTTGATGACAGCAACACAGACAACTTGATACTTCACATTTCGAAGACAAAGAAGGCGATCTCATTTCAGCGCGGGTACTTGTGCTTGTACTCCAACCCGAGTATCATTCCTCTCATGCACAGACTGGTCGCACGGTCGGCCGCAGCAGACCATGCTCAACCTGGCACATTGCTGCGTCCTGGTGCAGACCAGGCTTACAGTGGAGAGACACCATGCCTCCATTTGCAGGGTGCTCCGGGGTCTAAAAAGGCGAGCAGACAAAAGCAGCCAAGGTCTTCGTAGACAGAGTACACGAGTATATGAGCCAAGCGCTGGTGTATTGGTGTATTGGTGATCGAAAAACAGGGCACTTCCAAGCTCAACGAGGGATGAAGGTCTTCCACCGGCCTAATAGCCAACAGCTCCGGGTGCTTGATGGGTTGGTGCTCGCGACCAAGGCAGATAGATGGTATTAGATGGCTTGTGGTGGGCGGCGGAATCCGGATGGTGGGATCTTCGTCAGTTCGGGTGCCGCATGGCGTCTCATACCACAGCATTGCTGCTTGAGTTGAGCTGTCGTTGCCACATGTCTTGCATCCTGCTGGGCTTGAAAGTGTTCTCTGACATTCCCGACAATCCAAGCTCCAGGTCCAGCAGTCCAGCAGCGGAGACGCTGGGCTGGCGTTAGAGCGCTTAAGGCCTAGCGCCAGCCCGTCAGGCCCATCAGGACCCGTCTTTCAACTCGCTGGCACTCTGGTGCTGCCCGCCAGCCTCTAGTATCGCGTCTGGTACCTGGCACTTGCCCACCCAGGCGCTCCTTCCTCAACTCCCAAGCGACTCATCGATTCCACTCATGGGGCAATCGCTTCTGACCGGCGCCTTCCGCTATTAAAAGTGCAAGCGGTTGGCCACAGTTGGCCACTCATGGGCCGCTCTGAGCCCCAGAATCGTGCTCACAGGCCGCAATCGCATGACATCTGATTTGACTCCATCCCAGCGCTCCCGCCCATGATCAACCAATTGATTGTCGATGGAAAACGACTTGCACGCTTCAAAGCTTCTTATAGCTAACATTGCACAATGCATACGACGCCGGCCCAGTGACCACCGACTTTCGCCTGCACTGCAAGATGAGATAATTGGGAGCCCAGAACGAACGAACAAGCAAGGTGTGGAAGCCGTTTCGTCCCATGGACACGTTACTCTCTGTATCCAGAGTACCGAGTACTGGGTCTGTGGTCGACCCGTTGTAGTCCTATGCTAAAGTCCCATATTGACATAATCCAAGCAGCCAGCCCTGGGTGATATTTGCCCAGTTTAGTAGTCTCGTCTAGAGAAAAGATGGGTTGTATCGTCGCTTTGGAGCTACCACGAGATTCGAAAAGCGGCTTGGAGCCCTGGCCAGGTTCTCGGGAAGCCTGACTAGGTATGCAACGTTTTGCTGAGGACATCGAACACAACCATCGATTACGACGTCAAACTTCATTCTAGGTAGCACAAAGTTGGCACTTGCGCAGGCAAGCACCACGCATCTCTTGTTTGACACTGAAAACTCCGTGCAAGTAGTTATTTGTTCGTCTGGCGCTTGTTGGATCCTCGGACCGACATCGAGGCTTGTGAGGCTGACCACCGACAGCCCATCCGTGGCGGCGCTCGATACACTCAATTTGGTGTGTTAGACCGAGATGTGGCTGGCACAGTCCTTGCCCAAGTCGAGATCGACAGAGATCCGCGGCCCAGGGGCAAAAGGTTTCGGGAGATCAGCCCTGTGGTCCCCTTTGCCATTTGTTCCATCCTGCCCGGTGGTTATCCAATGTCTAGGATGATGAATCCAGGAAGGGGTGTGCTTGTCAAAGTTGCCAGAATGATCGCCCAAAAGAAACCCTTGAATAGGAAGAAAAGGAGTATTCTCGGCACCGCAGAGCCAAGGGTCTATGTCTCAATCGACTTCGTCTCTCCTCCCCCTCTTGAGCTCAACCCTGTAAAGGTGTTGCTGCATGTCCAGGGTTCGCTGTTGTCACTCTAACCGTGGACGGTGGACCTTTTGTGTTCTGACTGGAACGCGGGTATGGTCGGTTGGTCTTTACCAACATTTACTATGAACGGAAGTTTGAAAGAAGATCTGTCGATGATCAGGCGGTTATTTCATCTCGAATGCTTTCGTGGCCGGCACCTATCGTCCATCTCAAATCATTCGCCTTTCTTTTCCATTGGTGGACGCAGCTCGTAGCCTACACAACCAACCCTAGCTTTGCGACAAAAATCTAATCTCATCCAGCCGCTCTTCAAACTCCCCTGTTGAGCATCAAAGTAGCCAATGGGATCCCTGTAAAAGGGAGTTTCCATCCCAACATTGGCAAAAGGGTAAGTGGAAAAAGAAGAAAAAGGCAACCTCAAATCTATTGCGCCAAAGTCTGGTTAGATGAAGCAATCAGACAGTACATGGGCCATGAGCACATTCAGCCACTCTGTCTCTCTACCTGTTACACTCTCCAGATCAAAGGCGATAACGCCTGCTCACCAACCCATAAACTTCAGAAATCCAAGCTTCTAGGGGGCTTGCTCGTTGGTGAACGGGCCCACGGCTGGGTTTGTTACCATTTTCATTTTGCCCTAGTTCCACAGTCTTGCCTTTGATTGACTACTAGTTTGACAGGACGTTGTGTCGATGGAGTAATAAATAGTAGGTGACTACATGGATGGCACCGACCAAGACCGACCATGCAGGCACAACGCACATCGCGTAGTGCTATGCGTCGCCATGTCCCGGATTCAAAAGGGGGGGAATTGGAGACTGAAACCCACACTTTTCTTACAGCGGTAGGTCTTCGTAAGGCACATCGCCGCTGCCCTCTCATCAAACAGCATGGTACACAATGAAGGCAGAAGACGAAAAGCCGCCAACTGAAATGGACCACTAAGCCCTGATGGCGCCTTCTCCAATTGTCATGGTATTCGGTACTAGCTTTTTATAAAGCCTTTAATACCGCGACGAGACATAATTGATAAGCGAGTTATACTAGATAGAATCACGTGAGCTCACGCGGCTTGATGCGGGGTGCTGAGAGTGCCCACTTTACCGTGTCGCGTTTGTAGCGGGTTAACCCCACGTGGATGAGCTCAGTTATATCGATTCAACATTACCCTTGCCCTTGCAAATACCGTTCACGTTCTTTGTACAATGCATCGAAGAAAGGATGTTGCAGCAGCTCCTTGGCAGTTTTCCTCTTCTCGGGCAGCCACTGGAGCATGGCGGATGCAAAGTCAAGAAATTCC